GAGAAAGAAAGCGCCCGGTGGAGACCAGCGGAATATTTAAGCACACAAGTGAGAAACCCTTTGAATCGGCTAATTAAATCTTGAAAAAAATTGAAATTTTTGCAAAAAGTGAAAATTATAAAAAAGCATCTCAAAAAAAAGCAAATCAGATACATCTTTTGTTTATCAATAGGAACTAGCCGCCAAAAAACCAGGTATAAAAATAAATGCTTTGAAGCAAAAGTTAATCAGATATCAAAAATCAAAAATGCCACTAAATATTGAGCACTTAATCTGCGACTTTGGTTGGAAAAAAGGTGAATGCCATAATATCACAATAGCGCAGGTAAAAACTAAATTTTTCATGACCTATAGAACAAACTATAGAACAAATTTCAATTTTTAAATACCATTTGAATCAAAATTTAACCAGTTGAGTCAAAGCGGGGCTTCGCAACACTTGCGATACAATCAAAACATTGCATTACACGATATTCTAAAATAGGAAACCTATTATTTTTTTTTTTAAAACTAAGCTGATAAATTACTTCAAATAAGTCGAAAAAACAACAAAATATTTTTCCTTCGTCTCGGATGATGTTCATAAACAATCCTAACACGCGTTGAGAATCAATGAACGAGTGTCAACTCAGGTGCCAAAAATTGGGTCGACCATTGTTAAGCCGAAAAAGAAACTGTTGTTTTAAAAATTTAGAGCTATCAAACTTCAACACTCGAAGATTTTACAGCCAATCACTCTTAAAACAAGCAAAAGAATTCAAGAATTCCTCTTGTATCTCCCGAAAATAAGTTGGCCGAGCTGATATGACATTAACTGACCCCGTTTAACCGAAAAAAGGGCATAGTTATTTAAAATCAGAAACGGTAAATTTACCTACTACAGAATAACTTTCAATTGTAGAAAAACTGTTTGAATGAAAAAAAAATCCCAAGCAATGGAAAACTGGTTGAAAGTTGTACCACATAATATAATTGGCGTTTGCTCGAGTCCGCTAGTGGCAAATAGAGTATGGATGGCCAGTTAATCGACACGAACTCAAGAACTTTCGTTAAACAGCTTTTCCTAAAATAACTTTCCAAATCCGAGTTTGCTTTAAGGCAACCGCATCAAGAAGAAATCCTCCATCTAATATTTTTCTGAATATTAGGTTCTTCTTCTCCTACTACTACTACTAAAAGACTTAAAATCCATTTAAAAGGCTACAAAAACATAGCAAATCAATACAAAAACATAAGAATCTACAAGTAGGGTAATTACATTTTAGGCGCCATGGAAAAATCCGTTAAGATCATGTTTTTCATGTCACAACATAAAAGGAAAACCTTTTTGAAATGCGCAAATTCAAATGATCATAATGTTCAAAACAAATAAAGCTTAACACACATGAAAAACTTTTTTGGTGTTTGATTTTTCAAAAAAAAAAAGTAGTTCTGCGTACTTTTTCTCGTGAATGACTTTAAAAAATGGCTTTCGTTAATATGGTAGAACTTTAAGCATGCAGCTGCTAGCATGGAATATACCTTGTTCTCCTAAAATGTTAAGAAAAAGTGGACTCAATTTTTTCAATTCAACTTCATAAGCCCCCAAAAGATACCATAGCTTTTTACGCTGATGTTTTGAAGTCAAAACAAAAACAGCTTTGAAACTTTGATCCTGTTGACAATGAAGCGCCATTTCATCGGTCAACATTCTTGGATGCTATCGAAATTGACTGTTTTTGAAGCCTGTACGAAGACCGTAATTTTGACGTATGTCTAAATTAACCATTTTGAAAAAAAATTGAAGCTTAATAAAACAGCAAAATTTAACAGCAAAAATCAACTTAATAAAACAGCAAAATTTAACAGCAAAAAAGCGAAAGAGCTGTCTCATTATAAAGAATACGCCGATAAACTTTGTTTGCTCTGCCAACTTAGTTTTTCTTTAATCAAACTTCACTTTTCTCAATTTTTTGTGCCATTTTGGATGAAAATTTTCAAAAATCAAAGAAAATTTCGCAAAAACGAAAATTTTTTTTAAAAATGCAAAAGTCATTTTCGAACTGTCCTTGTTGCAATACGAAAACAACTGACTATAGTAAAAAAAATTACAACACAGAGGCAGAGCAAGGATTCGCGCCCTTTGCGATACAACACAAAACATAGCATCACAAATCAGCCGACAGAAATTGCGCTGAAAACCGCTTAACAGAATTTTTTTTTGAAAATGTCGAGAAAAGTTAGGTGTAACAAAACTTTTGTATCTTTGCATCTTTTTGTTTTGAAATAAAAAATCTTTTTCAATTAAGAAAAACATGCCAAAAAGTCAACTGTACGTTAAATTTGCATCGAAAATTTACGAAGCTTACGAATGACATTCAGAAATTTAGTATTAGAGGAAAGCTGAACGTTCAAAGAGCGTCCAAGCTACCAAAATTAAGCCGACAAAAATAGATAGCTAATTCCAAGGGTGAAAACGTCAAACTGCACCGTATTTCCAATATTTCCTTTTCCAAATAAAAAATATGGAACATTCATTGGTTTTTAAAACAATCAAATTAAAGTGACTTTTTAAATTTGACCAGATGAATTTACTCTCGTTAAATTGAAAAATTGCGCTAAAACGTGTTTTCACAACATACGATTCGTAACTACAGCAAAGAATTAGCCATGTTTCGAACACTGTTATTGACAACCTAACATTGAAAAAAAAACGAAACAAAGCTACTTTTCAATCAGATCAAATCGAATTCTCCGTTATTTTTGTGTCAATTAGTTTCTTTTATTTGCACAAAAGATGATCAGCAGTTTGAACTAAATAACTCATCACGTTCCGATGAATATAATCACAGCCAAATATCTGATTTTTTATTTAGTTTTAATTTAAATAAAAGTTGTACTACTATTCGACTGGTGTCCCACTCTTTAACCCTACGATATTTAACCCCCTCTGTTTACACCCCCTATATCATAACCCCGTAACATGATAACCCCACAACAATTTAACCCCCTTTTAATGACGATAATTTGTTTCAAATTAAGTCCTTTTTATAAGTACAGGAGTAGTCCAATTAAGCTTACTAATTGAGGCCTGAAAAGCTAGTCTTAATTCACTTGATGCCTCTAGCATCTCAAAAGTAATTGCATTTCGATTAGTTAGAGAAATAATCCCTCACTCACGCGTTTAAAACAGATAACCTACATGGTGCTAATTGAAGGCAACAAAAGACGTTTGTGAGTTTTATAAAAAATCATACTGCCTATTTCTTTAACCATTGTTATACCACTCTATCAGATCAGATATAATGTTTGAAGCGTCATTCCACTTTACTTTATCTTCGAAAGACAAACAAATGCTAGTGGTATCAGGCCACGAGTATTACTTTAAACGAAAAAACAAAACAACAACAAATTGGAACTGCTCAAAGTACCAAACCCATAAATGCCGCGCAACAGCAATTACGGATGGAGAAAACTTTATTGAAACGAGGGGTCAACATAATCACGATATTTCCACGGACCATAAAAGAGTCGGAAAAAATAGCGAAAGTTGACGAGCTTTGCCTTTATTTTGGATCTAACTACATAAAAAGTCTCGTCCAGAATCGGGAAGCCCTATTCCCCCCTTCATTATGGAATCAAAGGGATGCGGCATCATCAGGTTTGGCCAGAACAACAAATGCTGTAGAGGGCTGGCATTATGGCATACAGTCATACTTCAGTGGATCGAATGGTTTTGGGCTGTTTTGTATATGCATCAATTTGAATCATGTCGGTCGGATTCGTTTTCAAGTTCATATCAAAGTCTAGACTATCGGCAAGGTCATTTCTGTTCAAATCTAAAACGCATTTAGCAGCGTGCATGTTAACTCATTTTGGTTCGCAAAATTTTTTGCAATTAAAGCTTTGATGTTTACCGACGATATGGTTCCGAATCCTTTTCAAGTAACTTTCACTTTGATTCTAACAATTGGTTTTAAAAAGGGGTTAAATTGTAGTGGGGTTATCTGATTTCGGGGTTATATGAGAGGGGGTTAAGAAAAAGGGGGTTACAAAACACGGGGTGATAAGCTTGGGAACCTATTCGACTAATCCGCAGATTTGAAAAAAAAAACGCATCTCAAGCAGATTAAAAGGCCATTCAAATACAGAAAATTTACAAAAATAGTTGGTCCTATAATAGTGGACGGTCAGAAAGATAACCCTCAAACATTCCGAAAAGTGGCAATTTGAGTGAATATTGACAGTTTTGCAATGAATTTTTCAAAGCGCTAGCTAAGTTACCATAACTTAGGGGTATTATGAGTAAGATATTACAAAAGGTTTAACACAGAGGCAAATCGGAGCTTCGCACCACTAGCGATACATCCAAAGCATACCACAGCGAGCAAGCCGACAAAAATGACCCGCCGATTTACTAAGCATTAACTAAAATTCAATGTCATACATACTAAAAAAAAAACAGGTCCGGCCGGGATTCAAAACCATGACCCTAGGATACAATGGCCATTGCGCGTTACCTCTGTGTCAGGTAAGAAGTAAACGAAATTGCTATGGTCCACTAATATAACGAGATTTGTAAGAAAAGTTGTTTACGGAAAAAATCTAGTTCCCGATTACAAGACACTGGCTCTAGCAAGAAAAAAAATGAATATTTAAAAGGCTACAAAATTCGAAAAGAACGAAAATTTTAAATGCAAACAAGCTCAAAATACATTTGTTGCAATAAAACTCCGACATATGCGTGAAGGCAAAGAGTCGTGTGAGGAACGTTATTCAAAGGAAAAAGTCTTGTACCCGATTGCAATTAGAGTTGCTCTCCTCGCAAGTGCTAACATTTGAGAGAAAAGATCTTGAGAATCGTAGAAAATTACCATGAGTAAACTTCGGTATAATTTACAGCAAAACGAAAAACTACCGCAGTGAGAAGCTCTCAACGCCGGAATTTTTGGCACTCCCACCAATGGGTGAAATGTGAACGTACGCTAAGCCGGAAGAACTCGAATATTAACTTGACCAACCTTCGAGTAGGTAAATTGTGTAGAATGGCATGGATATTGCTCCGACCAGGGTATCAGCCACAGCTAAATTTATGAGGAAGTAATTATTCCAGCGTCTCAATTTACGCTCTTTGGCAAATGCAATCATGACCAAAATATTTCCAGCTACCGTAAACAGGGATACGGTGCCACAAACAACTATCAAGAAAATCGATGCTAACAAATTCATAGTGGGTTAATTTCAAATTTCAACAGATGACTTGAAACTATGTCTGCTTCGAGGAAGGATAGAAGCTGGTTGAAATAAAGCAGGCTGAAAACTAAAGAAACGCTTGATAAAAATTGGAACATTTTAGTCCAATCAAAACCAAGATACACAAAATCAACAGTCCGATCTACACAGAATATATCAGAATAAAAATAAAAGACATATCGGAATAAAGTAGCATTATTCTCAAGGAAGAACAAATGAACAATGTTGAAGCAATACCAATTGATTTTATGCCTAGTCTATGGAAATTGTTAAGAACATTAAAGTCATATATGAGAAGAAGGAATTAATAATACTCTTTACTTTATTGTCCAATCAGATGTCTCACAACACTTTCGCAAGACTGAATGTCAATTTACCACTAAATGTTGCTCTCACAAAGAACACAAGCCAGTGTACTATGTTATCATTAATCAGACTCAAACCTTGCAGGTTAGACAAGCAAATTAGAATAACACATTTAAAAACAACTGGAATTCGTCGAAATCCACGCAACCACAGTCACAATCCTGACGTTATATAGTTTCATATATTGAATGATTATGGGCCCTAAACCCAGGACCACCAGATTGAACTCTGAGTCCAGTCCTAAATGTATCTGCAAGAAGCCCGTCAATGATGATGACAGCTCGGCTATTGGATGCTCTTCTTGTGGGAAATGGGTTCATGGCCCTTGTGTTGGACTTTCTATCGATGATGTGCGTTGGCTAGGGACAAAAGCAAATCTCCAGTGGCTATGTGACAACTGTCTGCAGAGAGGAGATAAGTCAACAATTTGCACCGAAGCTAAGTTGGATGCTTTATTTAATGACTTGAGCGATAAAATAAATACTACGGTTACAAATCTTGTCCCTAAACTTATCAGTGAAGTTATCCCTGGCGTGAATGAAAATGTCAAAGAAGCGGTCACTAAATCTTTACCTTCTTATAGTGATATAGTATCCGGCAGTAAGAAATCGTTACCTAATACTGAACTGCAGTTTGTTATTACTGGTATTCCTGAAAACGAAAGCTCTTATTTTAAGCAAATTGAAAACGACTCAACAGAAATTGATAGAATAATGCAACATATGGGATTGCATCCAGAGAATAATATCACTGCGATTCGACGCCTTGGAAAGATTACTAAATCTTCTCCAAATGAATTAGCTTCTGATAGACCAAGATGTCGACCCCTCCTTGTTACAACTTCTAATGACCGATTCTTAAATAACTGCTTTGCTCGTAGTCACTACCTTCAGAATTACATTAACCGAGTGTATATTAAAAAGTTCCTTTCACGTTCGGATCGTCAAACTGAGAAAAATCTTCTGGCCAAACGATATCAAATGATTACTTCCGAGGCGAAAAACAAGAAAGATTTTCGAATCAAAAATCTTAAACTTTACTATAAAGGCGCGCCAGTTGACATATCCTCAAATTGACTAGAATCTACGAATTGCTTACCGTTAAATTGTCAATCTATATGTCCACTCGATAAGAGATACGAATTAATTAGTCTCTGTAATACTAATTTGATTTCTTTGGTGTTTCTTACAGAAACTTGGCTTAATCCCGACATTGATGATTCTGAAATTTTTCTTGGCTCTTCCTATATCACTATATGTAGAACAGATCGAGTACGAAGACAGCACGGTGGTCTACTTATTGCACAATCGGCCAACGACCCTCTCAAAACTATGAATACTACCATTCCGTCATTTGAATTTGCCGTTTCATGTGTTGTATTAAGCGAACTACCCTCCTTCTTTGTTCTCATCTATAACCCTCCCATGTCTTCTATTTATTCTGTTAATATTCAACTCCTCCTAAATTGAATTGAGTCCTACTTGTTGAAGATTGAAGAAATTTTACAGCAATACGGATACGGAAATACCTATAATTTTTACCTTCTCGGGGACTTTAATTTTCCTTCTATTGATTGGAATACTTACTCCTCTTCTTCTACAAATGAACGCTCTTTTCTTGAAATCATTATCGAAAATGGTTTTCTGCAGTTTGTTACTGAAGCGACACATAAGAACAAAAATATCCTAGATCTCGTTATTTCTAATGAAATAAACTTACCTGTATCAGTTGGCAATCAAATTTTCTCCGACCACTACCCCATTTTCTTTAATTTTAATTCTGTCCATCCGACTTGTGAGCTGCAAAGTTCCTATTCCAAATCTTCTTTTAACATCCAAACTTTCAATACTTATCTTCAATCTATGTACAATTTGGTATCTCTTAATTCTTGCACAATAGAGTCCTATGCTGATAAGTGGTATAGTCTTCTCAATAGCTCGTTCAAGTCTGCCATTAAATTAAAACGTTCCAAAAGGAAGGTGTTGCCGATATTTTATTCTTCGCATACTGTTCATTTAATTAATCAGAAAGAAACAACACTTCGCAAATTAAAAAAAGAAAATTCTTATTTGCAGGCAATTAAATTGAAAGATATCACTAGATATCTTTCTGAATCAATTGAATTGGACAAAGAGGTCTTTATTAATCAGTTCAATCTTTCTTCTACGAGCGAATGTTTTAAGCTCCTCAAAACTCTCGGTTATAATTCTGCCCTTCCATCCATCATGTATCACGGCAATATTTCCTTGACAACTGAACTCGAAAAAGCTACTGGATTCAACAAGTTCTTCGCATCAGTTTTCAATGACCAAGAAATGTTCACATTGCCAGACTTGTTCTCCAATGTTTCGATTTGTTTAAACGATCTTAACTTATCATTACCTGATATTGAATCATTTTTGAATTACTGTCCCGACACTAGTAATACTGGTCCGGATAATATTCCCTCTTTCGTGTTATCTCACTGCTCTGATATCATATCACCCCTCGTTTACGATTTATATGCCTGGATATTGAAACACAAAAACTGGCCTAGTCAGTGGAAAACTTCTTTTGTTACCCCTTTATACAAATCTGATGCTCGCAATGACATTACTAACTACAGACCAATTAGTATTTTACCACGAATTTCCCTTATCCTGGAAAGAATTCTTTTCAACTTTACTTATCCAAAAGTTAGACATCTAATCAAACGTCAGCAACATGGTTTCATGAAGTCGCGCAGTACTATCAGCCAATTGATCATCTATCTCGACTCAATTTATTCTTCCTGCGATAAAAATTCTCCTGGACTAGCCATTTACTTTGATGTGAGAAAAGCTTTTGATTCAGTACCGCATCATTTGTTACTTGCTAAACTTGTTATACTCGGCTTTGATTTTGAATTTCTCCAGTTGTTTGAATCTTATCTGACAAACCGGTATCAGTGTGTGCTAAGAAATCAATCAATTTCGTCTCCTCTGCCAGTTACCTCGGGCGTTCCTCAGGGGAGTGTTCTCGGCCCACTTCTGTTTATTTTATTTATAAATGATATGACCGATGATGTGTTAAATAGTGAATTTTATCTATTTGCAGACGACCTGAAGATTAAAAGCTCATCTGCTCCATCATTAGTTCAAAAAGATATCGATTCTCTTTTTAATTGGTCAACTAACAATCACTTACAGTTTCATTCTGCCAAATGTAAAGTTCTGAACTTTGGTGGTTATGATGATTCTATCCAATTCTTGCTCGGATCAGACATCTTACCATTTGTTGATGAAATTAAAGATCTTGGTATCATAGTCTCCAACAATCTTTCCTGGAAATCCCATCTGAATACTAAGTTGATAAAATGTTCCAGATTGTTTTATTTTCTGAAACGAAATATTCCTTTCTCGGTATCCTGCAGTCGAAAAAAGTTACTTTACAATACTCTCATTCTGTCAATCTTACTTTACGGTGCTCCTGCATGGTGCCCTTCTTTGACACTATTACATCAGCTTGAACTGTTCCAGTACAAAGTTCTAAGATGGATCAAGAAATGTTCATCGTATGTTTCAGGGCTACTAAATCTGAATATGCTTCCAATTAGCTATGTATTGATTAGAGTTGAAATTCTTCTCCTTTGGAAGCTCCATAACAATGTTATTGATGTTGACTGCAAAAGTGCAACCAGCTCGCTTCCTACGCGTTCCGCTACGAGTGGCCTATTCGTCATACCGAACACGAGGAAATTGAAAACTGACGATAACTTCTTTGTACGAGCTCCCCGTGCTGCCAATGAACTTCTGCGTCTGAAAATTATATCTTTCGACATGCCCCTGGGAATGTTCAAATCAAAACTGAATAAATTTTTACTGCTTAAAACTTCAACTTTGTTTGATATAAACAGATCATGCACATTCTTTGTCAAATGTTTTTGTAAAAATTGTCGATCGTAAGTTCATTCAATATTTATATTAACCCTGTATCCACCAATGGAATTAAAGTCTTTTACTACTACTACTACTACTATATACGAAAATTAAACGGTTTTCGACGATTAAGTAAAACTGCAACAAAGAAACAAACTTTTTCCATCAGAGTACCACAAAAAATTGATTTTAAATTACTGTTAATTTATGTGATTGGCCAAATTCAAAAAAAACAAGGACAACCGGTTACTGTGCAAGTAGCACAGAATGTTCCGACCATAGTCTTAAAAAATACAAAAATGTTTTCTCAAATTGATGTCGCTTTTTCTGCATGTTGTCATAGTAAAAATAGGTCATTTGGAAAACAGTTTTTTTAAAATAATGACTAGAAAAACAAAAAAAATTGCGCTAAAAAATTATGCTAAAATAAGCTTAAATAGGCTATGGCGATTACTAACTACCTTACTAATTAACTCGAAATTAGACCAAAAACAAAAATTTCAAACTGGTTTTTCTTGACATTGAAAACTTTTTGAAAATGTTTTAATGTCGTTCGAATCACGACTGAAACGGCTTTAATATGATGTATAAATTAACTGTCCAATGATTAATTGTGGTAGCTGATTTTGCGTGGAAAAGAAAAAATTGAAAAAAAAAATAAAAAACACCCGAAAACAAAGTTCCTCCCCATTTTCAATGGTCGGAACAACAAGGATGGCCGGTTGATGTGCGCACAGAAATTTCCGACCTTATTCTTAAAAAAAGACATGTTTTTTTTTCAAATTAGTGTGGTTTTTTGTGCGTGATGTGCTGAAAACAATGTGACAAAAGCCTAAAATTAGGCATATTTGATAATCACAGAAAACAGGCAAATAGGGTATTAATTTTGCCCTGCTGCCCTTGGGGTATTAATTTTGCCCAACGCTGCCCTACTCAACCTTACCTTGTCCTACCCTTACCTTGACCCTCTTCGCCCTGT